AAACAAAACAAAACAAAAAAACACTTTTCTAATTACCTGGGGGAAGAAGGATCTCATATTGCCTGGAATTTTAACAATTGTATACCAAAAGGCAACAAAAATGTGCTAAAAAGCACAGGAAGTAACAAAAGTAATATATGCTTCAAATTTACAATATCTTAAGTTGTTTTGTTGTTGGCGATTTTTATTTTTTTGACATAGGGCATGTGAGGTCACCAAAGAGAGATAGAAGGGAGGAAGTGATAAATCATCCCCCACAAGAGATGGCCACACCACAATCTCTTTTCCTCCACTCTCCTCTCTGAATTTTGGGCATGCATTTTCAAGTGTGATTTTCAAGTTGTTGGGTCTGGGACTCAAACCATAGTTGGCTATGTGGAAGTCTAGTGCCTAACTACCAAACACCTGCCAGCCCCCAAATATCCTAAGTTTTATGGTTATATATCATGGACAATTTCATGAGCCTTTAAAGTGTATTCTAAAAGGTATACACAAATGTCTTCCTCTCCTTAAAATAGTCTCAAACATTAGCATAAAAAATATAAATGAATTCCCATTCTTACCTCAAGGAAGCTGTTAAAATAATACATAAATTTCTATTACAATGATATTGTTCTACTAATTTTTTAAAAGCTTGTACTATGTTAGTTATGTCAGATGATTAGTAACATGTTAATATTTCTAGTAATCTTGGAAAGGTTGAGACCAGAGGTGTGAGTCTTAACTCTATCACTCAGTTTAGGACACTGGGGAAACCCACTTTCAGAGTCCTGTTTCCCACATCTGCAAAATGTTGTAGCATGAAGATCAAGAGGAAGTAGTTAAAATCAGTCATCACAGGGGAACCAGCAGTTAGCGTAATGGCTATGTCGCTGGACTCCCACGTAGTCGACCGCGGTTCGTGTCCCGGACCCGGTGGCTTAAAACTCACGCCGGGTGCGTGTGCGTGCGTGCCCAAGATCCCGAGAGGAGAATGGAGGAGAAGGGATTGCGGCGTGATCATCCCCCCTGGGGGGTGATTTCTCGCTTTCTGTCTCTATGTCTCTCTCTGTCTGTCTGGCGAGCGCACGCGCCCTACAGTGAAAATCTCTCCAAAAAAAAAAAAAAAAAGAAAAAAGAAATCAGTCATCACAGTATTTGTAGGTAAAAAACAGAACTTTTCCTTTTGTATTTCAAAAGCTCAATATGAAAACTAAAGATATTTTGGGTACAAGTGGCATAAATTGGAATACATTTTCCAGGAAGAAGTACTATTGTATTTGTATATTGAGTAAAATAGCCTTTGGTGAGTTGATCTTTGCCCACCCATTTTTATTCTACGTATGAGGGCCTTCTTCCAAATACAATTTACCAGTAACTCAGGTATTTGATATCTGACAATGACTCTTTTTTTGTAAACAGAGAAAAAGTCCATACCCTTGACTCTCAACTGACCCATCAACTAATATATCCTGTGTGAAATACTGGGAGGTCTTTAAAAAAATACCACACATGATCAACTTTTAAACTTTTAAGCTTTGTTACATCTGATTCTCTTTTTCTGTGTGTTCTTTTTTTTAAGAATTATTTAATTTATTATTATTATTTAACTTGCTACAGGGCTTGTGTGCTCACCAGAGAAAGACGAGAGAGAGAGAGAGAGAGAGAGAGAGAGAGAGAGAAAGCACACAAGCTACCAGGTAAGGGACTTGAACTGTGGTCAGCCATGTGGAAGCCTAGCACCTTAACTGCCATGCCATCTGCTGGCCCCAATGGCTGATTCTTTTTGCCTGCTTTCTCTTTGCCACTTTATGAATCTCATTTATTCTACAATTCTAAGGTTAAATGTCACTTCTGTTTGGAAAACTCTACAGTTGGTTGTTCCTCTCAAATTTACTTCTACATGACTTCTATAGCATTGTATTATCATCATTAATGTAATTCTCTAACTGCCACAGTGAAAACAATGGGACTCAAAGTTAGTTTCTGTTTTATGATTTCAATTCAAAGGCACAGGCCTTACGTCAAACATATTGACTACGAGTGGGATGGGCTCTGTATTCTAATAATTACGGGAGCCAGAACTCTCACAGGTGATCATGCTTGAGTTTAGGCACCGGCAGCTTGAAAAACATGCTGGTCACATGTACATGTGAGCCTAAAATACTGACAGGATAGACAAATGGAGGAGAAAGTATTGCTTCCTGATCACACCCCACAATGGGGTGGCACCTCCCTGTCTCTCTCTCTCTCTCTCTCTCTCTCTGGCAAGCACATGTACCCTCTGGCCAAAAGATTGGAATAATTTATATATGTATATACATACACACACACACACACACACACACTGTGAAATCAGAGAGACTTCGGCTAAAATAATGGCTTTAGCACTTATCTGTTGTGTTGCTAGAGCCGTTTACTTAACCTTTGTGAGACTCTATAAGCCTCTGTTTTTTCATGGATAAAATGCTGTGCTGATTAACATCTTGAGTGAGTGCATAGTAGTAGTAGGAATTCTAATGATAAAGGTGCTCAACAGGTATTTGTTTAATAAAAATATGATTAAATGAAATAAATGTACTACTATTAGGAATTATTTATAGGGGACCATATAACCTAAATTCTAAATGACTCATTTAAAACCAACTGTTATAGTACATTTAGTGAGGCTGAGCCATTCCTGTATTTATCTTGGACCTCTGAGAGAACCAAATTTTATAATGATGGTGATAATGGTGACAGTGAAAACATGACAATGATGAAAGTAATGATGCTAAAAGAATACAACACTTATCCCTCAGGAAGTAGGCATCCTCTCTGGCTAAACTCCTGTTCAGTCACTTCTTAATGACCTAACACCAACATTAGAGATGCATAGAAGTGAAGAATCTCTTTAGACATGAAAAAAACAAAAAAGAAAGAAAAGAGTTTTCAAACTCAAAATATGTCCTCGGCGATTCAGCAGTTAAGAATACATGGCTTTACGTTTAATTCTAAAGAGTTTATTATGTATACTTACTGAAAAAATGTCAAAAATATATCAGTGAATTAATAAAAGGATAAAAAGATGAAAAACACAGTTTGAGCAGTTTTAAGAGGACATTACAAAGCTCGGATAATAAATATTAAAACAAATGAGTATATAATTTTCTTTAAGTAGGAAGGGGATTTCAGTTTAGCATAAAATTAAAAGGAAAAAAAATCCATAGCAAATTGTGTTCTGTGTGGAAAAAAATGTAGCCCAGAAGGTTTTGAAGTCATTTTTATACCAATGAAACATATTTTCAGTTATTTTGCTGGCTATTGACTTGGACAGCAGGGGAAAAAGCGACTACATTGGATAATGGAAGATGTGTTTTTAAAATAAATCATTAAAAACATGACATAAGCTGGTTGGTTGATGAAGGTCCAATTTGTGAAACATTATTGATGTTAATGATGGTAATCATGACAGTTGGGAAGTATCTAAATAAGAAAAAGGCAATGCTGCTTCTGTAGTATAAATATAAATTCTATGCTAGAATTTATAATGATTAGCGAGAACGCACACTAATATATTTGATGCAATATTTTGAAGGTCACTCAACTATCAACTTGCCATAATGCTATTCAATTAACTACACAATAAAAATCTAAGATCATTTACGGAAAGAATTTTGTAGTGCTTGTAGAATAGTACATTGCAAATTCTGGCTGTATGTACAAGCAGAAACATATGATCTAATGCACTATTAAGCAAACTGTAGCTTTGCTGTACATTTTTTAAACATTAAACTAATTATGATGAGGTTTGGTCTCACTATATACTGCATATTTAGTCTTTTTTTAAGAGCCTATCAAATTGAATCACAAGATGCAACTCATTTATGCTATAAGCAAACACATGCAATATTAACAATGTACAATATCCTGGCTTAATTAGAAAAAAGCCCATGTTATTCTAAATATATTTAGGAGTGTGATACCACACAACTCTAATTTGAACTTGCCATTTAATTATATTTTTAAAACTAATTTACATGACTTGGAATTTCTTTTTTTTCTTTCTTTTCTACATAGCATATTGTTTTATCAATTCAGTTAAAATTGGCTTCTACTTAAACTAGAAGAGAGAATACAAAGTCTGAATAAGCTGAGGAAAGAGAAGGCATGGAGGTGACAGTGGTGACGATAGACAAGAAATCACTCAGATTTGATGATCAGAGGTTGTTCTGTTTATCAAGTTATTGGGCTAACCTCTACTAGTCTTCATTCTCTAGACTCTAGACTAAAATTCCATGAACAGAATATACTTTCTTTAAAAAATTTATTTATTTCTTCCATGAGTAAGAAAAAGAGGCATAGAGACACACAGAGAGAAAGACAACATCCCCAAAGTATGTTTTGATGTCATGAAGCCTCCAGCTTCAGCCAACCCTGGACTACAGGCACTGGCAAGTTTACTGAGGGAGGATTCTGGGAGCAAAACTGGGACCTTCTCAAGTGTGTCAGCTTTGAAGACTGTGGCATTTTACCGCTATGCAACTGTCCAGATTCTGCCAGAGTCTTTTTCAGAAAACGATGTCTTTCAAAATTCTTTCCTCTTTCTTTTTCTTTTTCTCTCTATTTCTTACATTCACAAGAAAACCTTGAATCTCTTAATATCACCCTCAACCTTATGTAGTCAAGTACTAAGGAAGGAATCTGAGGGTACCATATACCCCTACAGCTTGGACTATATGATTCTCGATGCCTTTGTTCCCAAAGCTATTGACTCTGCTCTTTACATATGGCCAGCTTAAGTTCAAGAGCCATCTTTACTATTCACACCAAAAACACAATATACATGGAGTTATTAAAGTCAGTAATCAAATTTTGACATGGGCAGTTCAAACATACTGTTCAGGTTTTTTTTAAGCTTTTTTATCAATGGCATGAAAGCACACAATATGGTGTTAAACAAGTTAATTTCTGGATGACAGTAAAGCAATCACATCGGAATTTAATCTTAAAAGTCTCCAAAAGTAAAAACGATTCTTTACCTTCACAAATTGTGACACCATTTCCTGAAAATCCCATGTTGCAATAGCAAGCTTCAACTCCATTACGTATTTCACATTTTGCATTTGGGAGACAAGGAGTCTTGGTGCAATTTTGAGTACAGAAACAATTCAACAAAGTGGAAAAAACCACTAAACAAAACAGAGAAAGACACCTTTTCAGAAAGATAAAGCAAAAACCTCCCTTACTGTTGAGTTAGAGTACAATAAACACAAATCCTCTTCCCTTCCATTTAGATAAATGGCTATGAAAATTTTCCAAGGGAGCATTTAGCAGAATAATAGTAGAAAAGCAAGTAAGCAAACAATTAAGGTGTTTTTTTTTTTTTTTCAATTTTATCCTTTATCAAGTAGATTTCAACAAAGGTAACATGTAATAAACAACCAGCTTTATAATAAAAACTCCATTCCCTAATCAGTATTCTGTGGTACTTCTGTATCACCCATCATTCTGAGGTCACATACTTTTAAAGGTAACTGCATGATTGTAAAGCAATTTCCCGCCTTTGGGAGTAATCTGTGCAGAAATCAAGGTAAATTGGTTGTTTGGGCCTTTTCAAATCCAAATCTATGTTATTTTAAAATGATATCAACATCTTAGGAGAGCAAATGCAATTGCTTTTTTTCCCCTAGGTATTGGTGATTGTTTTTAATTCTGCCACCTTCATAAGAACATTTCTTTCACATTTTCTTCCACTAGGGGAAATTAAAATAATATTCAACATGTTGGTCAAAGACTGATCTTCCAGAAACAGAATTCTGCACAAATACGACCAACAAAAATGAAATGAAACACATAACAGGACTTATTTCGGAGTTGTTGAAAATAATTATTTTGTAGACTGTCAGGAAAATATGAGGAAAAGCACGGGAGGTTCCTTTTTTACTGTAGTTCCAGACCTTCTCTTTCTCAAGAGAAGACTGGAGAATGAACAGTTATGAATCATGAAGTCAGTGTTCTGAAAACAGTCATCTGAGATAAATTGTCCTTATCTAATACCAAGAGATTCTTAAACATCCAATTCTAAATCCCAGCCTCACATAGGACTGGATATACTGTCTAAACCAGAATTAATTTGCCTTCGGAGACGTGATTTATTATCTTTCCGCACAGCATCATCAAAATGGTATTTTAAATGAACCCAAAGTCTGGGCTGGCAATCCCCTTAAAATGTCAGGAAGCCTCTCACAAGTGTTAATGGTTTAGATTTCCCAAGTTTCTTGGGGGAGATCTGAAGAAAGGTCAAAGTCTGAGGCTTTGGGCACTTTAGGGACTTTGTCAACAGGAATAAAAAGGTAACAGTCCTGAGCTCTGAATATCCAGCTCCAGGATGAAAGGCCAAGGAGAAAAACGTCCTGAGACGTACCGCGTCAATTTTCCTTGGAGACCGAGCCAAATACACTTGCCACGTGAGCGCCACTTTGTAAAAAAAAAAAAAAAATACAGAAAAATCCCGTTCCCTACCAGTGATGAGGCCCCTGCCGCCCATCGGTGACCAGGGTCGCTGCGCACTCACCTAGGAGCGGGAAGACGTTCATTGGCGGCGTCCGCGGTGGCTGTGGTGGCGGGGGAGCAAGGCTGGGTTTGCGGGGCTGTGTACCCTGGACGCGGCTGGGCGGGCGCGACAGGGTCTCAACTCCGTCCCCGTGACGCACCGGCTTCCTCCCCTCCGGACACTTTCCGGCCTCTTTTGTGTGAGTGAGTGTGTCAAGCCCTCAGTGTGCTGGCCACATCCGGCCTCCAGCCCCTATCCTCAGCAGTCTTCTTTCCCTGTCCTGGGCCCGCCAGCACCCAGCACTATTGCAGACCTTAGGCAGCATCGCTTTGCCCAGAGGCACAGCCTCGAGTGTGACTGTAAAGCTGGTGGGACCCTTCACCAGCCACTGTCCTTCAGAGGCCCAGGGGATGTCCCTCCTGAGAGCTTCCAGAACTCAGTAGGCTTCAGGGGTCCTCCCTGCACCTAAATTCCAGGATACAGTCTTTTTTTATTCACCAATAAATCTTTCTAAAGAACAATGGTTCAAAGAATAGTCAGGAGACCTGAGTCTATGAAATGGGGCATTGCCAGGACTTGGCCTTCACTTTGCTAGGACTCAGAGTTCCAAGGTATAAAATAAAAGTACATTCTATCTTGCTCATGTGATAGGATTATACCTAAGTTGACTGGGTAAAAATAAATAAATAAAAGTAAATAAAAAAGAAAAGAGCCAAGTTTCAAGCATTAAAGAGCTATGAAAGTACAAAACTACTGTTCATGTTGAATTAAATTTCAGCTAAAACCCACCTCTATTCAACCTCCACCCCAGGACACTTGATACATCATCTATGGTATTCTTTTTGAATGTCAACCTATGAGTAATGATTTAGAAATAGATCATCCAGATTTGAACCTAGAAACGATTCTAGCTTAAAAAATTAAAAATACCTGGCAGGCAAAACTAATCTATAATGACAGAAAGCAGATCAATGGCTGTTTGAGGCTGGGATAGGTGAGGGATTGACTGTAGAAAAACACAAAGGAAAATGTGGGGATAATAGCAATTTTCTGTATTTTGATCCAGATATGTTTGCCTAAGTGCATGCATTTGTTAAAGCATATCAAATTCTGTCTTCAAATCAGTGCATTTTATTGTTTGAAAGTTAAATACACTGTATTGTATGCAAGTTTAGATAGAGTTGCTTAAAAGAAATGGCTGATGTTTATCCTATCAACACAAGTCAATTATCTTTGCATGGTTAAGGTACACTTTTGCCATATTTCTTTTTGTGTGTGTATGTGTTTAACATCTACTGGAACCTGCTTTGTAAAGGAGCACCCTCACAAAGGTAAACAGCCATGCCTCTGGGCCCCAAGGAGCTGACAAACTAGTGGGCAATAACTAAAACCAGTCACAATGACACGAAGGCACAAAGGCAGAAGTGTTTATATATAAGTAATTTCCCTGGTTCTCCACAGAACTTTTTAATGCCATCTCTGGCTTAATTTAATGTGGGTGAAAAGTTCCTGAGAGACGTACTAGCATAGATGAAGCAAATGAGGAATATTGCTTAAAAATTAGCCAAAGTGGGGTCAGTCCATAGCATGGTGGTTGGGACTGCTGGATCTCACATGGCTGACTGCACACTTCCAGTCCTGGAGTGGAGGCTTGGAAAACGCACTGGACATGTGTGAGGGTGTACCGAAAAAGCCCAAGAGGAAAATGGAAGAAAAGGGATTGTGGCATAGCCATGCCTTGGGGGTGGCTTTCTTTTTCTCTCTCCCACTTTCTCTGTCTCTCTGCAGCTAGTACACATACCCCATGGCAGATTAAGAAAAAAAAAAAAAAAAAAGCAAAAGTGAATTAAAATTTGAATTTTAAAAAATGTCCATTCTTTCCTTGTGCACATATGTTCTTATTAAAAAGTAAACATTGGGGCCAGCAGGTGGTATGGTGGTTAAGGTGTTGGACTCCCACATGGCTGACCGTGGTTTGAATTCCAGACCTAGTGGCTTGTTTTCTCACTTTCTCCTTCTCTCACTCTCTCTCTCTGTCTTTTTAGTCAAAGTAAAATATAAATAATGGTAACAAAATTAAGTAAAGAAATAATTTTAACAAAAAATAAACATTTATTTATATATCTTATCAAGAAAATGATGGCATACAGGTGAGTGTAAAGTATTTAATAATGCTTACAATTTTAATAGTTGCCCTATGAAAAATCAAAATCACTTAACAATACCAATGTATTGTTTAAAGATTTTATATTTTCTAAAGGAATGGATATAAGAAATCTCTGGATTCATTGTCTTTTCAATGCTTAAGAAGAAGCATCGTCAACCTCCAAACTTTAAAATTAACAGTGGAAAATAACACATACCTTAAAGAATTGGTTGCAAAAGAATATTGAACTTTATCCACAATTTTCCCTTGACTACTGTTGGATCATGTTAAACTTTGGAAGATACAAAAAATACTTAAATTTTGGCTTACTCATTACACATAGAAAAGTTAAGTTTCAGCTGCCAATTGATTGCCACTTTAATGGGTTACACTAGTGCAAACACTTATCTTACAACACTAGATCTTATCAAATCCATGATTAGTTCTATTTTAGGTCTGTCCATAAGTGTCAAATTAAACAGAATTTTCTTAAAAAGTTCTTGAACAGGTTGGAGTTTGCTGTGGAAAGTGCTCACCCTGAAGACTTGGCTTAGTCTAGTTATTATCTTGAATGACTTCTTTAATCTTGTGGTTATCCACTGTTCACCTACTGTACAATGGAAACTAATGCTTGTTATACTAGATCACAGAGTTGCTAAGGTCATTCATATATATCTCCAACTCTCAGTCATCCATCCCCTTAACAATAAGTACACCTAAATCTAGGAAGTAAGGGCACAGTTGACATAAAGATACTGTTTAAAAGTGAATTTATTGTACCCACAGAGGCCAGCTCTAGGAACATCATGGTGTTCTTCAATCTCCTTCCTGAGACCCTGGTGACAGTGTCATATCCTCACCTGAGTCTTAATATAACTGAAGGCAAAGTATTCAGCTCTGTGTCTATGCCTCCAAATATCAGCACCACTCATGCATCATTTGATTTTTCTTAACTTACTGAGCATTTGTCACCATGTTGTTGATAGTTGAAAGTCCTCATTACTTCATATTATCTCAGTAAGACTACAGTTTACCACATAGAGTTTTCCACCATAGCTCAGTTTTAGTCAAGATCAACATTAACAATGTCCAGTTGGCAGAAGTGCTATAGAAAGAAGAAGAATTGACCTATGAATAAATAGGAAAGAGGAATTAGTTCATAACATACTAGAAAGAGTGTTAGCGAAGTGAGGAAACATCCCCCAATGTAGGGTGCTCAATGAGTGAGTAAGGACTGAGGTTTACACAGTGGACTTGCCTATTAATTGTTCTTAATCTAGTTTCTTAGAACTCAAAGGTCAGAGACATTTTTTTTTTTTGATTTTTCAGAGAGAGATTTTTGCTATAGGATGCTTGTACTTGCCAGAGAGAGATAGAGAGAAAGAAAGCAGGAAATCATCGCCCCTCCCCGTGAGGAATGGCTATGCTACAATCCCTTCTCTTCCATTCTCCTCTTGGGATTTTGGGCATGCATGCACATGTGCCTGGGTTGAGTTTTAAGTTGCCAGGTCTGAGACTTGAGCCATTGTTGGTCATGTGGGAATCTCTGTTGTCTGAATGAGTTAACAAACAAATAATTTTCTAGAATAGTACATAGTAAAACTGATTTTAAAAATCCAAATTTTTGTTTTTAGAGATTGGCTAAAAATTGTTTACCTAACAGGTTTTTCAGGTTTTTAGATACATATGGCATGAGGATATAGCAAAAGTAGATATTTTTATTCATTTTAAAGAAAAAGCCAGCAACACTTAGTTATTTGTAAAATAATTAATAGGTCCTAACAGTAAGAAAAATGAGTTATTTCTGTTTTTGTCTAGTGTTATTAAAATTAACAGTGGAAAATAACACATACCTTAAAGAATTGGTTGCAAAAGAATATTGAACTTTATCCACAATTTTCCCTTGACTACTGTTGGATCATGTTAAACTTTGGAAGATACAAAAAATACTTAAATTTTGGCTTACTCATTACACATAGAAAAGTTAAGTTTCAGCTGCCAATTGATTGCCACTTTAATGGGTTACACTAGTGCAAACACTTATCTTACAACACTAGATCTTATCAAATCCATGATTAGTTCTATTTTAGGTCTGTCCATAAGTGTCAAATTAAACAGAATTTTCTTAAAAAGTTCTTGAACAGGTTGGAGTTTGCTGTGGAAAGTGCTCACCCTGAAGACTTGGCTTAGTCTAGTTATTATCTTGAATGACTTCTTTAATCTTGTGGTTATCCACTGTTCACCTACTGTACAATGGAAACTAATGCTTGTTATACTAGATCACAGAGTTGCTAAGGTCATTCATATATATCTCCAACTCTCAGTCATCCATCCCCTTAACAATAAGTACACCTAAATCTAGGAAGTAAGGGCACAGTTGACATAAAGATACTGTTTAAAAGTGAATTTATTGTACCCACAGAGGCCAGCTCTAGGAACATCATGGTGTTCTTCAATCTCCTTCCTGAGACCCTGGTGACAGTGTCATATCCTCACCTGAGTCTTAATATAACTGAAGGCAAAGTATTCAGCTCTGTGTCTATGCCTCCAAATATCAGCACCACTCATGCATCATTTGATTTTTCTTAACTTACTGAGCATTTGTCACCATGTTGTTGATAGTTGAAAGTCCTCATTACTTCATATTATCTCAGTAAGACTACAGTTTACCACATAGAGTTTTCCACCATAGCTCAGTTTTAGTCAAGATCAACATTAACAATGTCCAGTTGGCAGAAGTGCTATAGAAAGAAGAAGAATTGACCTATGAATAAATAGGAAAGAGGAATTAGTTCATAACATACTAGAAACGAAGTGAGGAAACATCCCCCAATGTAGGGTGCTCAATGAGTGAGTAAGGACTGAGGTTTACACAGTGGACTTGCCTATTAATTGTTCTTAATCTAGTTTCTTAGAACTCAAAGGTCAGAGACATTTTTTTTTTTTGATTTTTCAGAGAGAGATTTTTGCTATAGGATGCTTGTACTTGCCAGAGAGAGATAGAGAGAAAGAAAGCAGGAAATCATCGCCCCTCCCCGTGAGGAATGGCTATGCTACAATCCCTTCTCTTCCATTCTCCTCTTGGGATTTTGGGCATGCATGCACATGTGCCTGGGTTGAGTTTTAAGTTGCCAGGTCTGA